CCCCCAAAGTTGTTGGTGTATAATTCAAGTTATACATAGTATATAATCTACATCTAAAATAAATTAAATAAATTACATTACTGATTATTCAGTGTTTATCATAAAATAATATATATTTTTTTTAAATTTCACGTACCCCCTAAGATGTCTTCGCGTACCCCTGGGGGTACGAGTACCCCAGGTTGAATACCACTGTTCTAGAGGAACTTCGACATATTTTCATTGAAATGAAGCGAGTGTTGTACATATTTGATTTTGGCGACAACATCTGATCGCTAGATAAACTCTATCCATTGATGTGTGAGTTCTCAGATTTAATTAAACCGAAATCCCTCCCCCCCAAAAAAAGCCGAAAACAAAGGAGGTTCGACAAAACAAACTAAAAATCTACGAAAACATGCAAATTAGGTTCTTGTAGTTTTACAGGTCCGTGTCCAGTGGAGCGACGGGTGTTCACAGAAACTTACCGTTGTGTGAAAAGGCGTTTGTATTGACTTTCTCTGCTCATGATTATTGAGGCGGATGCCTGGAATAACGTTTCTGGAATTTCTACAACGGAGCAGTGATAGTCGCCATAGCTTTGTCGCACGAAAAACGGCGAAATAATGAAAGCATAATTCTTATTTCCACAAATTCGGCGCAGACCTTCTAGGTCATTTGTTGGTAGATTGTCGTAATCCGGTTGTACTAGCCTTTCAAAGACCTCCCTCAGAATTGGGTCCAGCGAGTTCTGTAAAGGAAAGTGTCACCACAGTCAATTTTATTCCCATAAATTTCGCTGACATTTTTAAGTGAGAGTCTTGAAATCTGTGGTATTAAAGTCGCTTTCCGTCTCATATTTTCTTAAAGGCGATTTCAAAAGCTTCAATACTGTACAAGAATCAAGTCTGTGACGTCATTAATTCCTGATGCATCTAACCAAATATTTTTTTTATTTAGTGTTCTGTCTGACGACAGGTCCATATGAACAGGATCCTTCCATCCTTTTCTCGGACTGGGACCTGTTCATATACGTTCTTGGCAGATGATCCAGAAGTCGTTTGCCATTGCCTTCTTCTGTGTGGGAATGGAGTAATTGTTGGGATGCCACGGGGAAGCCCCCGGAGGAAAACTCCGTGTTGCCTAGACCACGGCCTTGCCCAACACCAGTTATAAATTCGGGCACCGCCGGGAATCGAAGCCGAGACCCCCAGGATTACAAGGCCAGCGTTCTAACCGCTAGACCACCTCCTCTTATTATTATTTAGTGTGCTGTCTGACGACAGGTCCATATGAACAGGATCCTTCCATCCTTTTCTCGGACTGGGACCTGTTCATATACGTTCTTGGCAGATGATCCAGAAGTCGTTTGCCATTGCCTTCTTCTGTGTGGGAATGGAGTAATTGTTGGGATGCCACGGGGAAGCCCCCGGAGGAAAACTCCGTGTTGCCTAGACCACGGCCTTGCCCAACACCAGTTATAAATTCGGGCACCGCCGGGAATCGAACCGAGACCCCAGGATTACAAGACCAAGTTATGTAAATGCTTTTATCAAATATTTTGTGTTATGGAAACAGCTTTCTTTTATAAATACATCGCGTTTTACCCAATTCGCATTGTGAAAACACGCGTTGAGAAGGAATGACTATTATCATTTACTTTGCGAGACTTTTCCATCATTCGTTCTTGTCATCCAATGATTCTAGAAAGGGTTATACTTACTTGAAGGTAGTACAGTTGTGCGGAGTTTGGAAACACTCCGAGTCTGTACGTTCCGTCGTTCAGGATTCCCTCGAAGTCTGAGAAGGGCAGCGAAGTTTTCCTGACAGCCAAGTGGGATATGAAGTTGGCACAGTATGCAACCAGGACGATGAAGGCGGTGAAGTACGACGTGAAGAACACCAAACGACAAGACCAAGATCTCGGGGTGATGGCATGGCCTGTAGAGAATTAAGGACATTCGAACACACCGACGTTTTAACATACCGCGACAAGACTGCATATTTATTAAGTACCAAGTAGTCTATTACATCCAATCTGGCTGTAACTATTTGCAGGAGTGTTTCTTGACGAGGCAACAGTCGTAACTAGTTAATAAGTTCTCTGTATTTTAATGAAGCCGAATGCTCAAAACTGTGTTCACCAGAGCCTCAAAACCCGAGGGAATGGTTTGTGATAGCCTTAACTGTTAGCTCTTTGCCCAGCCATCGAGCTGTCAGACCACCCACTGTCGGCCGTTCCCGACTGTTTATTCAATATATGTGCAGCTCCTCCCCCTTGTGGGGGCTTTGACACGGCGATGAGGGGCCCACTTTATGGAAAATATAAAATTTCATTAAATATTACGACAAAACGTGGAGTAATTAAAACGTGTGAAGTAGCGTGATTTGAATTAATTCCAGTGTCCGGTAGTGGACTTATTTCCGGCAGTGTTAAACCCTCGGGTTCTGAAGTCTTACAAACCAATTGGCTACACAGTAATCAATTAATAGTTGAGGTATTAGTACATTAAGGCGAAACGATCGATAAACAGAATCTCATATTAATCTTATCGCTAAACAATCCACATCTCCACAAAACTGTAACCCAAAGAACCAATTAAATTGTACGTGATTCGGCGTAAACTTATTCTGAGCGTTGTATTGTTTTATAAAACAACTGAATTTTGGAATCTCTGGAGGGATTTTATTAATTCGGTGATGAACCTTCGGTTTACCTATGCCATCCAGTTAGTCAGTACTTACTCTGCTGACAGAAGCTAGCGAGCACACTGATCCACGAGTTGAGGACACTGTAGCTTTCATCTTCATGGTTGTTCCCGTACTTATCTCCGAAATACCACGTGAAGGACAGGAAAAATGCGAGCAGCGAAGCCGATGTGGCCACTGCCCACCACATGTCACGAGACAGCGGCGCCAGGACGTAGCTCCACGTAGAGTCATCGGCGTCGGGTTCCTTTATGAACATCGACATCCTAATAACATAATAACTTACTACTAACAAATGAAGTCCATCCTGTGAGGGAAGGCGGCCAGAGCGTGACGCTTACCGCTAACTTCCATTGTGTGTCGAGGTCTGGAATTCATAGTTTTATCATTGCGACCTCTTACCAAAGGGGACCAGGCGACCTCCTATTTTGCCTAGTGGCTGAACCGATCGTCTACGAAGTTTGGGAGCGACTCATTCGAACCAACCTTACCTGGTTACCACTATTGGAGGAAGGAAATACACTGCAGACATTCTCTCCTGGGTGAATATTTTTGATCCCGACTTCAACCTTGTTACCAACCGTCAGATTCATTACACCGTTCCACGTGCCATCGGCTTCCTGGGAACCGTATGCTCCATCTTCTGCTACAGAATATCCGGACCTGCGCAGACATTGTCTCTCAATTCCACCATCACACAGAAGAGCGAGGGCTTGTCAGAACACGGGAAGAACATTCCATGAACCACGGTCAAAGAATTCATTAAACCGTGTAAAAATAAACTGAAAATATGTCATTCATACTTCAAAGTTTCAGGCAAATTTAGTAAACAGTAATATTGTGATATTTCAGGTTCTGTCATCTGAGAATGGAGTTGTAACGCGACGTTTCGGACACAATCTTCGACTGCTTATAGCCCGAAAAGGCTTCACTGCATTGAACAGTTTGCTGTAATTTTGTTCATATTGAATTTAGGACGACAGAAACACAACTTCTTTCTGTTATGTTCGTGCTCTACTCAGAATTATAGTTGCTGCAGCTGTCTCGCCGCCATTAGATTCGGAACGACCACACGGAACTACAAGTGAGGTAGTTACTTACGTGAAGTTCAGTATTTCTTGTAAAATGTGCCATATTTCTTCTATCTGTCCGCAGAACTTGAGAGCTGCTCTGTCTTTGCAGCCCTCAATGTTTTTGGCCAGGTCCTAAATAAACATTTGATTGTATACATTAGTGTTGCATTAATGCAAATACCCGTTTTGTCTGCCCTGGAACTTTGAGAGACGAAACTCACAGCGGAATATATGCCTGCCTGTACGAGGGCACCTTGAAGATCTCCTCTGCCCTCGCCAAAGGGTGCAGTGGACCACGTGAAGCCTCGACTGGAACTCCAGGTGCCCATGAGGTTTGTCTGCAGAGGACGAGTCGGGTGGACACGGAATACTTCTGTTAGCGATATCTCTTTCGTCGGAGCCACGTGTTGTGCCACCAGGAACTCGCAGCTCAATGGAATGTGGATGTCGGCGAAGTAGTCTTCCAGTGACGTCATATTATCTAGGAACAGTAGCCATCTTCCCGCCGACATGTTGCTTACCGTCGACTCCTGAAGTAAAGAATAATCAAACTCCTCAGAGCAAATTTTGGTAAACATAAATGAGATGGAACGCCATCTTGTGCGGAAAGACCACATTGGTGCATGTGTCGTTCTGTTATCAGGCTGCTGTGTAATCTCTCTCTGGATTTACATCTGTATTCAGAATTGAGACTCTACGATAATTGGCTTTGCGCTCCTATGAGTGGAGTCTGCAGGTGTTTGCACTGTGGACGGTAAGATGAGATCCACCAATCAGCGGGTTCCAGGAGCAAGGATTTCTTTGAGCAACGAAATGGCGAAGGAAATCGGGGAGATTTGTTTTGGATGCGGGGAGTGCCAAAATGTAGGCCACAACGAACAAGAGTTACAATTGAGAGCAGGGCTATGTGATTTGATTGGTTGTCTTAAACATACGAGGTGCGATCGGAAAGTTTCAAGACTGCGCCTATAAAAACCCGTACACTTATCTCAGGTATTAAATTCATCCACCACCCTCGAAGTAGTTCCCCTGGGAGTGAACACAACGATCCCAGCGCCGCTGCCAAGCGCGGGATGACGGCCATTGTGTTTGAGGCCAAAAACTGCCGAACTTTGAGGGCGGTGTGCGCTGGCGCGTTGTCTTGATGCGTCGCATGTGGAGTTCTTCCTTTAGAATCAGCTGACAGGTCCCAACAATGTCGCACAAGTCGTTGATGGTACGACGTCGATCTTCGTGAATGGCCTGCCGAATCTTGGTAACATTTTCGGGCGTTGTGCTCGAAGATGGTCGTCCAGAATGCTCGTCATCATCGACAGGGGTTCGGCCCTTTTTAAAACGTGAATGCCACACAAAAGTTTGCGGACTCCCCAAATGCTTGCTTTAGCATTTCATAGGTTTCCGTAGCCGTTTTGGCGAGTCTTTGGCCAAATTTGATGCACACGCCATTCCGAAATCGCAGGAGGGTCGGTGTAATGCACTACCAAAACGCCCGTAACTAAGAAACAAATGCTAATTCGATGATACCGGCTGACACACTGATTCACTATAAATCTAGGCCGCACCCCCTAGCGGCAGAAGCTCGTACTACATCGGGTTCGCCCGCTATTGACACAGTCTTGAAACTTTCCGATCGCACCTCGTACACGAGGCGTGAAGTCCAGTGTATGGCTTTTTAAGGATCATTGGTTCATTGTGCTCCAACATTCTGGCTTCACAATCCACTGTCTTTACTGAGGAGTCGTTGGTGTCTCCGTTTTCCAGATTCACCTGATTAATTACCATCATGAAAACAGCTGCATCTCGGCCTCAGCGAACTTCGTCCAACCGCGGGTATGAAGACATACCAAATTAATATCGCTTAAGATAATTTAACAGCATTAGAAGTATTCTTCCTTTACCCAACCTCTTCAAGATATTTCTGTAGTTCCCCGTCGCTTGAGAGGATGACGTACAAAGGACGACACTGTTCTTCTATCGGAGTGCTGATGTATGACGTGGAAAATATCACAGCTGTTGTTATTTGCCTCACTGCTATAAGAGCCTTTATTTTTAGTGCGTCAGAATATATGCTGTCGTCTGCAAATAGAGAAAACACAAGTTAGTGACAAGATCTTTAACCCTCTGACGTAGTTTTACGTGTATACACGCGGGCATTTAAACTTAACTGCCTCCCGTTCCACGTGCATATACGCAAGACTCAAGTCTAATTTCTACAACCCATAAGTATGGTATGAATAACGACTGCTTTATGAACTTTGGACTGGTCTGCTGTGAAAGGAATCCTCCTTCTGATGATGTGGCAACAGTGTGTGTATTTCTTTTAACTGTGCTGGCCATTCGTAAGTATAAATGCCTGACCTACAAGTTTTCAAGGCTACCACTCATACATGTGGTGTTTGTTGTGAATGGAATTTAGGGTCTCAAAAAGGTTAAAATGACAGCCATAAATCCTGGAAATAAAGAGAGGGGAACAGAGTCGAAAGACAGAGGAAAAAAGGTCATATCTGAAGCAGACGAAATGTTCCTCAAGTTAGGAATACAAGTGGAATCGGCATGTATGTGTATGTCAGAAATAACAAAATTTTAAACATCTAGAAGGAAACGTGTTAATTACTTGTGCTTGTGTCACGTAAATTTGTGTCCGTGTCCGATTTGTGGAGATTTTGGTGAGTGGTTTCAAGCTATCAGGCCATTATACAGAATTCCCCAAACAGAAGTACACACATCGAAAAATCAAATTTTCTCGTCGTTCGTCAGCTGTACTGAGATGAGGTCATGTGACATCAACAAGACGGGGCACCCCCACATTACCATCGCGATGTCAGGGCCAATTTTGACCACACATTTCCCGACCGATGTATAGGACGCAGAGGATATATTGAGTACCCCCACGACCACCAGATTTGACCCCAAAAGACTTTTCTTATGGGGTTATTTTGAACACCTACACTGGATTTACTATTAACTGAGTGTCACTACTGATTTATGTAATTTACATGCAAAACTCTTCACAGTATTCATCGAGAAATGTGATTATGTGACGTAAAAGGTGGCACTCACCTCGCTGACGCGTAGACTGAAGCAGGTACACGCATGTGGAATGGTACTTATCCAGTACACCGACAGTGACGCTGATCGCCGTGTCTGAGGTAAACCATGACGCGTTGACATGTGTGAGGCAAAGCAGAAATAAGATTTTCCACTTCGATAATTCATCCATGTCTAAGAGTGCGCCCTCGTAATGTTTGTGACGCACTGATAAAACCCACGACTTTGGATTTAAGAAGGAACGTTTCTTGAATGAATTATGCACGAGTGATTGGCTGGTTAATTGCATGAAATTAATTACATTATGGAATTTGATCTTGGTTCATCTTCTTCTTGATTTCTTTATTTCCACACAAGAGTCATGATTCCTGACCTGTAAAAGGCACAACATTGACTTATATTGGTGATTAAGAGAATATAATAAATAATTGTTCTTAGATTCGGAGGAAAGACTTTTGCCTTTGCTGTGAACATGTAAACGAGTCGCTTTTCATTAAATTTCACACAGGTCTATGCAGGTTTTTTTTATTATTTAGTGTTCTGTCTGACGACAGGTCCATATGAACAGGATCCTTCCATCCTTTTCTCGGACTGGGACCTGTTCATATACGTTCTTGGCAGATGATCCAGAAGTGGTTTGCCATTGCCTTCTTCTGTGTGTGAATGGAGTAATTGTTGGGATGCCACGGAGGAAAACTCCGTGTTGCCTAGACCACGGCCTTGCCCAACACAAGTTATAAATTCGGGCACCGCCGGGAATCGAACCCGAGACCCCCCGAGGATTACAAGGCCAGCGTTCTAACCGCTTGACCACCGTTCCTCGAAAAATGTTATACTGTAGCAGTTGCTTAACTCTGCCCCTTATAACAGTGTTTGCTATCAGATTAATTCTTCTGTGGAAATTTATAAATGTCCCCTTCATGACGTGTTTTTTTAATCTCACGGGCTTCGAGCGTCGTTCTCGGGTCCATGGATTTCATGTTGTGTTCATATTCTGTATTTTTACTCCAACATCGGAATTCAATTAATATTTTAAGTGACCGGAAGACTGGAGTGACATTTTATTCTTTGTCACCGGGTCAGAACCAGCCTCTTCCTATCCAATTGGTACAGATGTGGGCAAACAGATTGGCGTATGGCTGACGTCACAATCATAGGAAACTAATGACGATTCTACTAGTAATTAAAAACGTATTTGACCTTCGATTTTCTTCCAAGGTAAACATAATGAAAGTAACCATGATTATGAAAGTGACTCGGGGGGTTGCCGACACACGTACGGGAAGGAAGTTCCTGAATTAATTCAGGATTTCCGAATCTGCGTAATAATTCAGACAGCATGAAAATAAAAATAATATTACGTAGTCATATAACCAATAGGATTCGATCTTATCACATGAAATTGTAACAATTTTAATTACTAAAATTTTGTTTATTGATTCTTAGTTAATCTAACGACGTATTTTAAGCTACGTAGCTTATAATAGAATTATAAGATGATTGTCTTCTGTGTAGTCTGGTAGATGTTAACCAACGTTTCAGAGGTCATACTGCCTCCATCATAAGGGCGATGACTTATCCCCATGTGTGGGTCAATTATAATAGGGCTAATTTTAACAAATTTAAACTCGTAACTAAATTAATATACTCCTCGGATTCTACTATTACAATTTTTATTTTTAAAAGCTCTTGAAGTTGTTACAGCAGAATCCTGTTACCTTTGTGATGATTACTCATTGTTTTAATTTAGTATTGTTTATATTTAAACTTATCGTAATTGAACGAGTGTCAGCCATGTAACAGTTGTTAAGCGGATAGCAATAAAAGTACAACTTACCTTTGGAAGACACGGCAAACCAAACTTCTGCGACCTGTGAGGTGTTTAATATATTTCAGAATGGCGAGCCAAATAATATCATGGTTATAAAGAACGATTTTCAAAAGCACATTATCATTTAACAATAGAAGTATTCATTGTTTCTGTAAGAGGGATTCCACGTGTGCTTAGTCGTGGTGGTCAGACGGTGAAAATGACAAAAGCTGATTAATAAATACAATACTCCTTAGTTCTAATACTATATATATATATATAGTCAGAGCTTCCTTCTGTGAATTTAGCAGATGATAAGGTTTCTGTTGTAATCATTGCTTTAACTTTCGTGTCATCGAATTTTGTAATGAACCTTTGAAGTTCCCACAATAGATCAGCTTAAGAGAAATGTGTTCTTATGCACCTTGTCCTGAATCCTGACAAAGAAAGTACTAAAATAGACTAGTAATAACAAACGCCTTGTTATTTGAGCTGGCAGACATGCTTTGTGTTTATGCTGAAACAGTAATTTTTAATTAAATGTAGAGTGTTGTAGTTAAATTGATTTTATTCGACGTGAAAGCATTATTATTCCAACGACAGGTTCTGGAAGACAGTTGTAACAGATAGCATAAATTCTCTATCGAGTATCTACAATTGAATGTAGAAATTATTTAAACTTCTAAACTGGAGGGCTCCTTAAGGCTTCGACCGGGATGTTCTTTTGTTAAATCTTATGTGGTACCGCCTGATTCGACTTCTAATGGTTAAGTGAAGTGTTTTCTTCGCGGTACGGTCTGGATTCGTAAATATTATGAAGACGATCTTCGGCTTCAAAAGGTTAACCAGCTGATTTTCGTAATGGTGAGGTGTAGTGTTTTCTTCGCGGTACGGACTGAATTCGTAAATAATATTCAGACGATCTTCGGCTTCAAAGGGTTAATCACGTCAAATTGAGGTCGCGCCTTTAATTGCAAAGCCCTGCAATCCTTGCAAGCACGGGAAGAAAACTTATCGCTGCAAAGTGGAAATTCGAGTATACATAAATTATATCTTTGACAGCTAAAATGGTAAAAATTGTATCTGCTACTGGAGATGTCAGTCAGGAAACTTTATTAAATGTTTATTCTTCATGTAAATTGAGCGTTGTTATTACCCAGTCACAGGAACCGAGATTAAAAATTTATTTTGTTTTTCAAAAACTTCCATTGAATTAGAATTAGTTTCTTTGTCCTTGAAACAAACGTCACTAAATATGACGGAGGCAGTATGACCTCTGAAACGTTGGTTAACATCGACCAGACTACACAGCGCAACAACCCAGAAGACGGAAATCTTCATACTCACCGCTGTGAGAACCTCAAGTCTTACGTCACTAAATATGCTAGAGAATGTCTAGACTTCGTGACGAAGAATCAAATCCCGGCTATGGTGCGTTGCAATATACGAAACGTTTTTCTTGGGATTTGTTCATTATTAAATTATAAAAGTGTACGAACTAAAACGTTCCGAAAGCTGGGCCAGACCCACGTCTGAGGCTAGCTCGACCAGGGTCCCAACAGTTAGGCCTTTTGGCCTCGTGTCCATCTTTTACCTGAATACGCCAGCATAATCCAGCTCCCGAAACGTCATTTGTATCATTTTTGTTTTAATTTAGATAATAGACAAAGATTAAAAGAACGATTTCACATAATAAAATTCTGTTTCGTCCGGGAACTGAAGTACAGGCTCTCAACTTGTGGCCAGTATGTTAACCCACTTAGTTAATTTATTAATTTAATGTGGTTTTATAAGTACGAGAAACCTTTTCAATACAAGGTATAATGTGGATTACTTTAGTAGGCTGCAAATTCAGAACATCACTTTCTCAGTCTTGATCCTTGAAATGGTAATAGTACCACAACTTTGGGAATAAATTCTCAGAATAATGATACCGGGAAGTTCATTACCATCTTCATAAGAGCCAGTTTAATCCAATTCAAAACACGTCTTAATGGCTGTTATAGTAGCTTCTTATGGTCCTATTTACAAAGGAATATTTGCCTACATCCGTTCTTTGTTTCCTAGTCCTAATTTTCCGAGTATGATCGTCCCTGCCCAGGTAGCATGGCTTTAATAATCTATCCTCTATCATTTTCCAAGCCCGGCCCCCCGTGTATGCTTTGAAAAGGGCGCACATTCGGGCTATCAATCTACGCTGTGCCAATGTTTCCCAACCAGATTCGTTCGTGAAATTAGCAAATTTAGCCGCTCTCTTCTGCACCCGATTTAGTGCTCTTACCTGTCCTTCCCTGTAAGGGTCCCAACACACAGCTCCATATTCAAGTATCGGTCTCACTAGCGACGTATAAGCTAAACGTTTCGTATTGTTATTTCCCTTTTTTAGTATACGCATTACGAAATGGAGAGCCTTCCATGCTTTAATTAGTGTATAATTCACATGATCTGCCCAGCTCAGATCACTGCGAATAAGTATTCCTAAGTACTTAAAGCTATTTGCCTCTGGAATTAATTGATCCCCAAAAAAGTAACTCAGCTTATCCTTCACCCTAGCTCTATTGAAGCTGACTGCTTTACTTTTACCTGGATTTATCTTCATTTCATTTTCTACCGCCCATTCCCATAATCTATTCATATCTGTCTGTAACTTATCAATGTCACTACTATCCATTATTTTCCTGTATACTATACAATCATCAGCGAAAAGCCGTATATTTGAATCAATGTTTTTCCAAATATCATTAACATAAGCTAGGAATAGCAAGGGACCTAATACGCTCCCTTGCGGCACTCCTGACGTTACCCTGACTTCATGAGATAGCTGTCCTTCCACTCTTACTCTTTGCGAACGTCCTAAGAGAAATTCCTTTACCCATAACACTACCCTCAAGTCCACACCGGTTGCAGCAATTTTTGTAATCAGCCTATCGTGTGGGACTAAATCGAATGCCTTTGAGAAATCTATTATAACCGCATCAGTCCTGATTCCCTCGTCCAATGAATCAGCAACATCTTGACAAACCGTGACTACTTGACTTTCGCATGAGTACCCTGGTCTAAACCCATGTTGACCCTCATATAACCACTCACTCCTTTCCCAGACTTGCCTTAGATACCCTGCTATAACGTGCTCCATTTGCTTGCAAACCACCGAGGTTAAACTGACCGGTCTATAGTTCCCAACTACCGATCGATCTCCCCCTTTATAAATAGGGACCACTATAGCTTTCTTCCAGTCCCCTGGGATAGAATTGTTGTTCATCGTTACCTCCAGCAGACGCGCAAGGTATGGAATCATTGCTTCCCCACCTAACTTTAAAATTTCCCCGGGGATGCCATCTGGTCCGACGGATTTATTTTTCCCGATTGCTGCTATCCGTTTCCTTATGATATTGATACTAATGGTAAACGTTTTATCTGAATCTGTTGATTGGATTAGCTGGTTATTTATCCGTTCGCAACTGAATACCGACGCATAATAAGCGTTAAGGGAGTTGGCCTTTTCTGTTTGATCTGTGATGAGGTTTCCTTTAACGCCCTTGATTGCCGGAATAGTTTCTCTATTACCCTTACGTCTTTTAACATATTTGTAAAACTCTGTCCAGCTTCTCCCCTCTCTTTGCAAGACCGAAGTTAAGAATGTCTCCTGAGCCTTCTTTTTTACTATCAGCAACTCCTTGGATAACCGTTTCAGCTCCGCTTGGTACTGCCCTCCAGAATTTCTCTTATTATAAACCCTCCTCACCTTTACCTTCAGACGTTTCACTTCCTTGGTATAATATTCCGGATCCGGATTTTTACTCAGGATTCTTTGAGGTACAAAACGATCGATACCCTCGAAGACTATATCCTTATAGCTTTCCCATATCTCTTCCACGCTACTACCATTTCCAGCCCATAATTTAAACTTTTCCCGAAGAAAGCTTTGTAATCCTAAAACATTTGTTTTATGGAACATGGGGACTAATCTTTCTACCTGCGGTTCACGGATTTTTTCTTCCCATTCCACTTCTAATATTACCCCACTGTGGTCACTGATCCCCTGCACAATGCTGCAAGAGGTGAGCGAACTTTCAGGCCGGACCAGGTAAACATCCAGCAATGCATCCCCTCGGGTTGGCCTATCGACTACCTGCTTGTACCCATTTTCCCATACCAGTCTATTTATAAATGCCTGATTTCTGCTAGTACCTTCCACGTTTCCCTTCCAATCTGCGTAGGGCAAATTTAAATCACCCCCAATGATACTACGCTTCGTAGAATTTCCTAAATGACTAGTTCGTGCTGCCAATCTTTCAAAAACTTGCATGTCCTCGTTAGGAGCTCTGTATATTCCTATAATTTCCCACGAATATTTTGTATCTATTCCTTTCACTTCTACCGCAATCATCTCAAAATCCTCATCTACCCATAACTCCGTACAGGCAATGAAATGTTTAACACATATGAAAACCCCACCACCACGGGCAGACCTATCTCTCCTGAAAGTTGTAAAATCTGTCCTAAAAACTTCAGCATTGCTAATATCTTCTTTAAGCCAAGACTCCGTGCCTATAACAATATCGGGGTTATACGTGTCAACTAAATTCCAAAGCTCTAAGGCTTTATTATAGATACTCCTACAGTTAACCTGCAGCACCACTAACGACTTGCCTTCAACCCTATATGCTGCTACCGAAGTTAAAGTTTCTGCCCCTGCCCTAGCTTCTATTTCCCTACTCACCAATTTACTCGTCTCTGTTCCCCTTATTTCATGCAAAGCCTTCTGTTCTCCAGTTGATGAATGCCGCGTTTCCCTGGTTGTCCTCGTTCTGTGAGTGCCGTCCACCCAAACGTGTCACGTCTTCCTTCCTTCCTTTATGACAGCTGATGAAGGTAATTCGTTACCACAAGGGACAATCTGCATTTCTGAAACGTCCTCAGTTTTTATGGGAAACACGTGTTGATGTTAGGACATTTATAATATTGTCTCTGAAATTCAGCCAAACACAAAATTAGTTACAAAATTCTGTAGCATAAGTATCCATTTTAAGGACTCGACCAAATTCAAGGTATCGCAGCAGAAGGATATTTGTGAATGTGGGGCACTGTCCTTGTCAGTTCGCCTAGTAAAAGATCGCGTAAGACGCAACTCTTCTGTTTTCGCGTGTAGCTTCCCTGTTTGCCCGCCATTGGCGCTGTGTCCTGTTCCGGGAGGAAAGTTCTCGACGAATGTGCAGTAGTGACATGCAACGCGACTGATTTCAGAAGAAGTGTTTCTTAAGCGAATTTGTAAGTTTCGTAAAGCGTTTGGTTAGAATTATGTAGTAGCACGCATAGTGTACACGTCTAGAAGGCGACCACAAATTAATGTCAAGCCTACCACTGCTTAAGTTTCAGGTTTACCACGTTTGTTTATCGTTATTAGATTTCAATGTGAACATGTGCCCGTGTGATAATTTATTCTTTTGTAAAACAATGAATATCAGCGATCACTTTTTGCGAGTAAGGTTTGCTGATAAGTTGCACTTATTTTCTTGTCGGTGCGAACACTAACGTAAATTAGAAAACGTGTGTGATGTGCTGTGATGTTCTGCCCCATTTGTCGAAGTGATAATCTGTATACTTCATAAGTGAAACAAACAAGAAACAAGTGGGATGGAATGGCCACTTCTACAGCGTTCATCAGGCAACAGAGTCTTCGGAGTGGTTGGTGAGTACAGACATTTTATGATGTTCGTCTGTGCTATATAGTTGCAATATCCAGTGTCCGTGTATGTACTGATTCTAACCACAACTTACTTTCTTGTCTAACCCATACGAGCAATATATTTCATAGTTATAAACTTTGTGTGTGTGTGTGTGTCTGGGACAGTTTAAACTTTCGCGAAGCGTAGTCTAACGTAACAGAAGACTTCCGGACTCTTTATATTAGTCAAATGTGGGAATTCTGAGTCACGTAAACTTTACTTTCTTCCACAAGTAACTCAAACAATAAGTGGGAGCTTAATGAAACAGCAGACACATTAACATTTACTTATTTTTGGTTATTTTTATTCTTGTCCTTTCATCTGTGTGTCCAGTTAACTGCCAGAAGAGAAACTCGTAATGCAATAGCTCTACGCGTGTCATGTCGTTTCCAAGGCCACGATAGACATCCTACTCATTGTGTGCACATAAATCTTACTCGAATTGAAGGACCTAAATTCTTATGGCGAATTTAATAGACTTGATTCATATCAGTTAGATCTGACGGGTTGCAATATACAATTTTAATAAATATATAATTATATTATATAGCCTCCAAACGTTTAATTCCTTAACGATCAATTAATAAAGGCATAAACAGGAGAAGAGTGTTTCTTCGAGACGAGTTGTATCTAAACATTTCGTGTCTTCCTGTGTACTCCAGTCTCTAATATGAGCAGGAGGACGGCTATCAAGACGCCCGCCCCAAGGTAAATGAAGTACACCCGTACTCTGCTTATGGTCACACTGGACGGTTGTTCGGGCGGGACGTCGTCCGTCCTTGGGTAGTATTTTCTCTCCAGTGCATTCAGAATTCCAGCTCGCCTCATTTCTTGCAAGCTGAAATGTTTTAAACTAACGTTATTTGCATCTGAAACAGGCGTAAACACTGCCCTCGACCATCTTCTTCTATATAAAAAAAATTAAATCCCGCATACGTAGTACTCCAATTTGGCGTGGGGGGGTTTGTACGTTCACGAGTTTGAAGATGGCTTTCCTCTCGGATGCCGTCTGATAATTATCGATTATAATCGATGCAGCAAGTTCCTATGAAACATCAGTACGTGGCGCGACATCCCAGAGGACAGCCATCATCCACCACACGCCCGCTCAGAACAAAGAATTAAAATTGCGATTATAAATATTTACGCGGACATTTGATAGCCCCGTTTCGACGAAACGTGGGCACGTGGATATACCAGGTGATTCAAAAAGGACTTTACAACTTTGAAAGTGTATAGAAATTTATTCAGAAGGCTTACAGAATCGGTTTAGGTGTCATTTTGTAGCAAAACAAATCAAGTTTGACTCACGTTGTGCTGTAGTACCGAATTCCGTCACCGCGAGTGCAAGCGGCAGTGAATTTGAAAACGGCTCGAAAATTTTCTCATACCACAGTTACACGAAGATGACCAAAAAGGGACGCATTCACTTCCAGCAAGACGGCGCACCACCTCACTACCTCACAGAAGTCCAGGATTTCCTCAATAACCGTTTCCCAGGTCGGTGGATTGGTCGAACAGGGTCGATAGCATGGCCACCTCGTTCTCCAGATTTTTTCTTATGGGGTTTCATTAAAGATCGTGTGTATGTTCCACCCTTACCTGCCAATCTCACTGAGCTCAAAGCTCGAATCACCGCCGCAGTTGCAGAAGTGACACCGGATATGCTGGATCGTGTTTGGCAAGAAATTGATTTCAGGTGGGATGTCTGCAGTATCACCAATGGCAATCA